CGGGGGAACGGTGATCCCCGGCGATCCACCCGACTCGACCTCTGACAGTAATCCATAAAATCTAGTCATCTACAGACACTGGTGGAACCTTTCCACCCCAGTGGAATGTTTGTATATACTTTCTGTGGAACTTGCTTGCAAAGAAGCATGGCATATCAGGTTACAGTCCTATACATGTTTGCTTGTTGTGTCAGGTTATAGGTTGTTGTTGAATTAGGTTATACCAAGTTATAGTCCTACAGATGCTTACTCGTTGTTGTAAACCACACAAAGAGTGATTTGTTGTTGTAAACTGCAGAGTGCTTTGGGCTATGGACGGTATAGAAATGAAATAATAATAATATAATAACAACAATTGTTAATTCCTTGAAATAATTTAGATTTACATTTAAGTAAATATACAACAGAACTGTCCTGCTAAATTAGCTTTTTTGGAACCAATCTCCTTAATCAAGGACATTTCTGGAAGTAGAGAGAATGGAGGTTTACTGTTTTGCTATACAAATCTCCAAGTTTGTTCATGAACATCATGAAACATGAGGATGCTACTCATTACAAAGAATAACCTTATTGCAGTTCTAATCAGTAATATGTGCAGATAAAGGAAGAAGCTTCACATTTAATGCAAGATTTAAATAGGCCTGTGCTTGAAAAGTTTACTGTTCTCACTGATTCTGTGCTTCAGACTGTAGCTCATATTCTAAAAGGCAGCAGATGGGCTGGGAGTCCATTTTATGAGAAGCCTCTTTTATGGAAAGAGACATGGAGGGAACTGCACTCTGGCTCTGTTCAGCTTACAAGCCTTCGAATGAAGAGTGCAGTAGATAAATATTTAATTGTTTATTTGCTGCTGCAAAGTCTCTGCTGTCTTATGCTGCATGTACCCTGCTACTTATGGATAATGCATAGCAGCAGGGAAGCAGCTGTCTCTTCTTCAAAAGAACATTAGATAGGGTTTTTAAATAAAGAAAAACCCCTTCCAATTACTTCCTTTAAAACATTTTTAAAGCCTAATGATTTTTTAAAGTGTGAGGTGGTGATAGCAGGGACCTTCTGAAGGGGATGCTGTAAAATATTTTTGAGGCAGGTTTTCTACTGGATTAAATCATTATGTGTACCTTTTAAATCTGACTATGGCTGAAAGTGTCTCAAGAGTCTATAAATGACAGCCTGATCCTAACACTTGATGCATCCTCAAACAAAGCACAGAATGGCCATTTAGTTTCCCCTCTCAGTGTATCACTGCAAAAAATGATGTCACAGCAGCAGTGCAGATGAATATGTTTGCTAAATGTTTAGGATCAAACTGTTAAGCACATTATGCTATAATTTGTAGACAGCAATATTGATTTACTGTAGAATCTGTATGGAAGAAATGGAGTTCACATTCAGAAACAAGACCACATTAGCTCTGACCATCTGCTTTAAACATCAACAACACAAGGGCCAATCCTGAAAATTGAGGCTGGGTTACAGTTTACATTCCAATCCCAAAGTAGGGCAATGCCAAGGAATGTTCAAACTATCGCACAATTGCATTCATTTCACACGCTAGCAAGATCATGCTCAAGATCCTATAAACTGGCTTCAGCAGTACGTGGATAGAGAACTGCCAGAAGTACAAGCTGGGTTTTGAAGAGGTAGAGGAACTAGAGATCAAATTGCCAACATTCGCTGGATTATGGAGAAAGCAAGAGACTACCAGAAAAACATCTACTTCTGCTTCATTGACTATGCTAAAGCCTTTGATTGTGTGGATCACAACAAACTATGGCAAATCCTTAAAGAGCTGAGAGTACCAGACCACCTCACATGTCTCTCGAGAAACCTGTATAAGGGTCAAGAAGTGACAGTTAGAACCGGATATGGAACAACTGATTGTTTTAGCATAGGAAAAGGAGTACAGCACTTAACATATTCCCAGTAGTCACGTATGGCTGTGAGAGTTGGACTATAAGGAAGGCTGAGTGCCGAAGAATAGTCACCTTGCTTATTTAATTTATATGCAGAGTACATCATGCGAAATGCCAGCCTGGATGAATCACAAGCCAGAATTAAGATTGCCAGGAAAAACATCAACAACCTCAGTTATGCAGACGATACCACTAATGGCAGAAAGTGAAGAGGACCTCAAGAGCCTCTTGCTAGGGTGAAAGAGGAGACCGTAAAAGTTGGCTTGAAACTCAGCATTTAAAAAACATCTGTATGGTCAAAGCAATGGTGTTCCCAGTAGTAATATATGGCTGCGAGAGTTGGACCATATGGAAGGCCTAGCGCCGAAGAATAGATACTTTCAAATTATGGTGCTGGAGAAGACTCTTGAGAGTCCCTTGGACAGCAAGGAGATCCAATCAGTCAGTCAATCCTAAAAGAAAATCAACCCTGACTGTTCCCTGGAAGGCCAGATA